CTTGAAAACTATAATCTATATGACATAACAAATAATTCAGAGTCCATAATTTTAGTACCCATCTGAAGTAACTCACTTTATACAAACTCCTGTTGTCGTCGGCAGCGGAAATTTCTATCTTAGGCTACTTATTGTTGTATGTTGTTGCCGCTATATTAAAAAGCGCACAATGGCTTGTCGCTTTCAGCTGTTCAATTGGTTTAATTAATTGAGGTTTGTTGTATTCACAAATGTGCCGGCTAAATACATTTCCCAGTAAAAGTAAGAAAATAACCGATAGGACACTTTCACGGAATATGGCCTGTGAGATAACAATGTGTGATTTATTACCGAACTGGCTCAAAACAATTACACTAAAAATAACCGGCTAACAATAGTTAATAACAAATAGACGCTCATGCTTTGTTTAATCAGAAATCAAAGGCTCATAGGCCATCAACTGACTTGTAATAGGTCGTCATGTCTGTTTTCGCCCTTATGCCTGCTCTCTGGCGGTCGAAAAAAAAGGGGGGGGGGGAGGGGGCGGGGGAGTTTAACACCTCTGTGACTTAAATAGTGGCATTGTAGATGGCAATCGACAAGCCAGATCACATATACCATATTTCGGTTCTTGGCAATTTGCGGCTGGCTAGCCGCATGCGGCTCTCTAGCGACCTGAGTGTGGCTCGGCCAGACGGCGACAAAACGGTTTTGACTCTGAAAAACATGGCTCTTGACATGTTGGATTTGGAGCTGCGGATCCATTCTTTATCCCCGAAGAATGTAGCCCTGGAACCCACATGAGAAAAGGAAGCAATAATAATGGCACCAGTACCCTCTACACAAAGTACTTCCCACTTCATGTCCCAGGCATTTTTAAACATATTGTGAGGCCCCACTAATATCCTCATCATTGCGCAACAGCTCACTCCACGTCTTTCTCAGTCCCTATTTCCCTTCTCTCTATTCTCTGTCTTCCGGTGCATATATTTGACTTTGCTGGTTCCATCACAGGGACATTCTGTCTATACTATTATTTGGTTGTCTCATTGTGTATTCAGTTAATCGGGTATTCCCCCTTCAAACTTTATAGAAAACGAGTTCCCCTTCCATCCTGACGCCCCCCCCCCCCCCTCCGACCCCCCCCCCCATTTTTTTTCCATAGCTGCTTCATTACCTAAGCCAGTGAAAAATCACACACAATACCTGTCACTGTTCTTTGTGTCTCAGCAAAGTCAATAGTATACACACGCATTGATTGCAGCTGTCAGAAGTTCTAACACAAACAGTACGGTGCCAGAAATGCTGTTTATCGTCGATGGAAGCAGCATTTACAGAAAATCAGTAATTATACACTCAATAATTCGTATAAGGCAAACAGTTTTCTTGCAACAGGCCACTTGCTATTTTCCGCAATTTGCAGTTAATACAAACCAGATTTGGCTTAGTCGAAAAAAAAAGCATCCCAAATGAAATCGGTAGCTTTACTTTATCGAGCCATGCATTCAGCTCAGAAGACGCGCAAAGAAATGTGTCTTTTCAGTTCAAATATGGAGGACATTGCAACGGCTAACACATGTCGAAGAAAAGCTCGCTACGACAAAAGACAGAAAGGTGGGTTTTTTTTTAATTCTGACGGCTGCCTTGTGTATTTAACGCGTATGTTTGCTACTGTAAATGCTGATACTGCAGTCTGTGCCCCTTTTTCCACAAAAGACAAGGATGGACATTCTGTGTGGTTTTAATTGGCAGCTATGGGATGACCCGTTTGCTATAAAGTTGACACTGCGATTACTTGACTTCTTTATTACAATGACCACGCCTATCCGCCTTAATAACCTGGAAACAATATAAAACCGAATGAATAGTATATCAGCGAGCTTCACAATATAACCAACACCAACAAAACTTGAACGTTGCGGCTATGGAGCCTTTTTCAGTACATACATAGATTAGACAACACTACACAAATACAAATGTCACTTATTCATAATGACCTGGAGTCCGTGTGTCTCATTGTTATATCCAGCGCCAGTATCTTCCTCTCTCTCTCTCTCTCTCTCTCTCTCTCTCTCTCTCTCTCTCTCTCTCTCTCTCTCTCTCTCTCTCTCTCCCTCTCTCTCTCTCTTTCTTTCTCTCACACACACACACAATCGAAATTCCCTAGATGTAAGATGGTAATAAAGGTCCCCAAGCTAACATCGTCAAGATATCGAAGTTAGGAGTTCAAAATTCACAGTTCTAGAGAATTTACCAGTTAGCCCACCGTGTCCGATTAATTTTCAGATAATACGTAATTATTTATTATCAATCTGCTTGCTTACTTAGTCGCTCCTCTCCTACCTTGGGGCGTAGAAGTTTGCCAGGGAGATCGTCATACGTCTCTATCAGCAGCTTTTCTTCCTCTGTCAGTTAGGGACTGCGGATGTTGTACACCCTGGACCGCCCTGGAAGTCTGGTTCCCTGGTTCTTAGCCTTCCATGCCTGTCATGGTGGCCGATTTTCTCCCATTCTGCATGCATGTCCAAACCATTGTAACTTTCACTGGTCCACTCGGGTGTGTAAGGACTGGGCATCAAGATCTTGACGTATTGTCTGATTGCAGACTTTGTCCCTTCTTGTCACTTGGTCCACCTTTCTCATATTTCTTTGTTCTAAGGCCTGAAGCTGGCTTATGAGAGCTGTTGTCATTGCCCATGACTCACACCCATAGTTTAGGACTGGTACATAGGTAGATTGGTAAACGGCTATTTTCGTCCTCTTGCAATTTCTCTTTTATTAAGAAACCCTCGGTTTATGGCCTGGAAGAGTCTCCCAGCAGCTACTTTTCTTGTAGCCAGCTCGGTCTTAATGCTTCCATTTCGGTCTAATACAACTTTAAGGTATTTGAACTGGTTGACCTGCTCTAATGCATACTGCCCCCTTCATGATCTGGTGTTTCTTCTCCTCTCTTGAGATCACCATGGTTTTAGTTTTGGAGATACTGATGGTCGTCCCTCTCTTCTCAAGCTCTTCCTTCCAGACAAGTAAGTTGGACTGAAGGTTTGCCTTTGATTTAGCTATCAGGACCTCATCGTCTGCAAATGTCAGCTCTGATATACAGATTAGTCCCATCTTCCAGTACCCTACTGAGTACTTCTTTGTCTTCTCCTTACAGGTCTTGATGACATCATCCATCATAAGAATGAAAAGGTAAGGTGAAAGAATATCACCTTGCCTGACACCACTAGTGGTCTTAAATTCTTTTGACTTTTTTTTCCGTTCTTACATAATTTCTGCAGCTTTTGTTCAAACTCTGTATTGCACTGATCAGGGGTGCTGAGATGTTTTTGACTGCCAAGCAGTCCCAGAGCTTGTTCCATGGTACCTTATCAAATGCCTTTTCTAGATCGAAAAAAACACATAATGTGCACCTCACTCTTATATTCAAAGGCTTTGTCACTCATCTGACTCAGTGTGAAGATAAGGTCTTGAGTACTTCGGTTTGCTATGAAGCCGCATTGGGCCACATCCAGATGTGGCTCTACCAGACTTCTAAGTCTCTGTTCGAGAATTATAGAGTAACTGTTACCAGGAACGTTGAGGAGGGATATGCCTCTGTGGTTTGCCCATTGTTATCACCCTTTTAAAGTATAGATATAATGACATTTGACCATCTCTGGTGTTATACCATCACGTCCTGCTGCTTTTCCTAGCCTAATCTTCTCAGTATTTGCCTTCAATCTTCCATCCTGATGTTATCATCTTTATGGATGATTTCCTTCTCAGCAGTGAGGTCCGTTATTTCTGGATCATTACTTCCCTTAACACCAAGGAGCTCTGAGAAGTATTCTTTCCATCTGTCCATGATATCATTTGTAGTAGTAAGCAGAGCCCCTTCCTTGTCTTTTATAAATTTAAGAGAACACTCTTTCTCCTTTCTCATGTTTTTGGGGATCTTGTAGAACAGTTTTTGATTTTCGCTTGCATTCTTTTTCCAACTTTTCTCCAAACCCGTCCTATGATTTCTGTTTTGCTTTAAGCACTATATTTTTTGCCTCTGTTCTGAGTGCCACATATTCTTTATATTTCTCTATTTATTCAGCTGTGTTCATGGCTGCTAGCTATTGCTTCCAAGCCTTTTTCTTTTCTCATATTTTTAATTTGACTTCTACCGTCCACTTGCGACTTCACCACATGCTTCTATTGCAGTTGCTGTGAGGATATTCTTAAATCTGCACCAGAGGGTTTTCATGGTTCTTCTTCAGTTCCTATTGCTTTCACTATAAGTTCCTGGTATCTAGCCTTAATATCTGGCTCTCTTAGCTTGTATGCCTTAATCCTCATCCCCGCTCGGTTTCTTGCTTCGAGCAGAGTGGCTAGCTTCACTGGAAAGGTCACGAGTGGTGAGCATACTTTGGATCTTTTCTCCAGGCAATGCCGGCGTTGTGGGTAATGAACAGGCAGATTGGCTGTATCCGCACCACTGGATGGTGAATTGATACATTACAAGGCAGATGTGGTCAAGGCCCTTTGGGAACAAGCAACGGAATCAGTAGAGAAAAAAAAATATTATTGCCTGGAGAGAATGAGGCACCTGGGTGTAACCAGAGGGTCTGGCCGGCTCACTACACTCAGAGGAAAGGCAAGACGCACTTTTAACCAGGTTTTGACCGGTACCATCAGTACTGAAACTCTGCGCTGGCTGCTGAAGATGAGGACGGGTCATGCATGGGAATGTCCCGAGTGCTGTGATGTCAATTCTTGACTCAACTCAGCTTTTAAAACATCTCATCGACCACTGCCGTTGGAATAATGTAGAAATCCTTGAGTAATTTCGTACCTTATCCACGTGGACGTCTAAGGATCCCAAACCCCCTTTTTGTTGTACCCTGGGTCTTCATGTGACTTCCTTTCCCCTTCCTGCGTTATCATCACCGCTGTTCTATTAATAAAGACCATTGATCCCCTCTCACGTGACAACAGGGCAGACAACCCAAGCTCTCACGTGACGTTGACGTTTGACAACAGCAGAAACGAACATGGAGTTGTTTCCAACAAACGTAGTAGTCTTGTGTATATCATACATCTTGCTTTATTTAACGGCACTTGTCATTCCAGTCAATTCCAGCAGTGCTTCCAGATATGTGCACACATTTAAGCGCTCTCCATTTGATGCAGAAGAGTCGTTTATACCGTTAATGAATGAAAATAGGAGAAGAAGAGACGCGGATGTTACTGAGACAGAATCAGAAAAGAAGGACCCAGTTTGTGAAAACCAGAAAACATTTTTCAGCACTGTTCGTGAGAAACTGAAAAATGGCACACGCTTGGAAGAAACAGTGAGTACTATAGTTTACTTATATTTTCATATTAAGGAATTGTATCAAGACTAAAGTACAAAACAGTTGTGGTTTCATTTTGTGAATGTTAACACACACTCACACACAAAATATCGATTTTGATCATTTTGATTTAATTTAAAATAATTAATAATGAAACTATTACTATTTTAACTACTACTGCGTAATTAAGCCGTCCTCTGACCTTCTCATTTGAATTAAGTTGTAACTTTAAATAATAATAATATGTAATGCCCCCGCCCCCATCTTTTTTTTTTCTCTTCACACTTAGATGACTCCTTCATAATTGGTTAGTTTGGTTATCATCATTGTACTCTGGACATGTCCATAGGTGCTCAGATCCTCACCTCACCAATGTCCGATGGCTAATAGTCGATCTTAATTCCTAAGTCTGCCATTCTGGCGAGTGATGTGGATTCACTGCCCCCAAAGTACTCTATCCTTCCCATTTTTTCCCTACATTTTTGTTCTTTTTGGAAATTAATTTGGCCGAAGAAAACTTATGGCCACATGGAAGAGGCATCTAGAACAAACACTGGAGAACCTTTGGGGCTCTTCTTTAAATAACGGTCGCTATCTGGAAGGCGACGGCCGCTTAGTCGGAGCTCACTCCCTTGGCTACAGTGCAAATACAGAGCGGACAAGTCACGAATCAAAAAACAAAGTGAAGTCGACATGCCTGCTAGAGCTAGACCACTCGCTGCGACTGACAGTAGTGACCGTGGTCTTGCGACGCAAGACTCGTAGACCACGTGCTGCGACTCACATTAGCGACCGTGATCTTCCGACGCACGACTTAGTGACCGTAGATGTGAGACCTGCGGATCTGTATGTCGTAATGAACGATAAGCTTCCGTCGTGTCAGTGATGTGTCACCCTAACCCTACACCTAACCCTAACCCAAACCGTTACCCTAACCCTAACCCTACCCCAAATCCTAACCCAAGCCCTAAGCCTAACCCTAGGATGACAGGTAACTATATCATTTGTTTCGTTCCCTCTTTACCACTCCGTATTTGTACTGCAGCCAAGGGAGTGAACTCCGACTAAGCGACCGTCGCCTTCCAGCTAGCGACCGTTATTTAAAGGAGAGCCACCTTTGGAGACTTGTCGCTAATGTACCGGTTCATGGAGGCAGCACAACTAATAATCATAGCATATGCCAACTGATTGCAAAGTAGAAAAAGAAATCTACACACATTTACATAACTGACCTGCCCTCTCAAGTAGACCCTGCCTAAAATTTGAACCAGGATATTGGTTTTGTCGCTGGACTGTACCTTCTGTCGAATACACATTTAGGAGAATGTCTCTTTACCTGTGAAGCTATTGTAGGGCAGTGGCTAAATGCTGATCTGCCAGCTCAAAGGTTTTGGGTTCAAATCCACACTTGGTGGATTTACAAAAATAGATTTTCTCTCTGAGGTGAACCCAGACTTAAAACTGATACAGGAAATTTCTGGGAAATAAATCATAGCCAAAGTCTAATTTTTTTTTTTAATTTACTGGGTGCGGATTCAAAAGCAAAACCTTTGAGCTAGCTGGTGACCTACTTGGGTGCCTGGTCAGTTATACAAATCTTACTATGGATTTGATCTCAAGACATTCAGACCAACAGACACACTCAAACTGTTAGTTTCTTGCTTCATTTATTAGATTATGCTCATTGTCAGGACTCATGTTGATCATTTATTTTCTTCTAGAAACCATACTTTTCCTAACTGTTCTTTCTAAGCCTCTGTCCCAGTTGTTTCTGTTACATGATACTCTTTTTCTATTGTGTTCACCATCTGCGAGCTCTAGCGGAAAGTCCCGGTTGTTCCTAAGTTTTGTGTGTAAGGTTAGTTGCGTATCCTTCACAGGACGTTGCAGAACCAACCCTAACAGCTCCTGGCTGTTGTGCGGTTTCTCTAGGCAAATTTACGTCCAGTAGTTTACCATTGCTTCTGTACAGTCGGCTTTCTTGATACCACTGTCGAAACCAACGCAAGTCGCGTGGCCCGCAGCTGGGATCGAACCTGGCATTATGAAGCGTTCACATCAACTTAGCCACAGAGCTGGCGTTTTGTGTGTACATATCCATTTTACTGGTTTATTTGTGTGCTGTTGGGGGTTCCTTGACAGTCGGGCAGGTAAACTCTGACTGAAAAAAAACGCTAAATTAGTCGCCTCCTCCGTCATGCTTGTTGGGGAGGCAGTGGGTTTATCTTGCTTTCCCCACAGTGGGGCCTGCAACCTGCATGAGGAGTTACATGATGTTGATTATGAGTCATTTCTCTTGTATCTTCAACATATACCTTAACTTGAGGCATAACTCATATTTTTGTAGGTCAATCAGCAGTTTGTGGATTTTGTGGTCAACAACACGCCACTCACTTTTATTTTCTAGCATATTGCAGGGTACTGGTACTTATTTTAGACTTTTTTAGCCTGGCAAACAAGGTCAGTACTGAAAAAATCAACCTCAGTGCTGATTCGAACTCAGGACCTTTTGGCTAACAGAGGAGCATCTAGCGGCTATGCTACTGAAGCTCTCATAAAAATATGTATAACACTGTAAATTAAATGAAGAAACTTCATTACATTTTTACAAGTTCCACCTAATCCCATTTCAGAATCCAATGGTAGTATATTGGTTTTACCAGTAAATAGAAGATGTATTAGCCACTGTTGTCACATATTCTTGGAGGTAAAGGTGGCTGGCGTGATGTTTACCACATCACCCTCCGAGTGCTTATTGGTCTATAAAATTCAGGTCTAGCCTTATATGCCCAGTTTGTCTGAAGGCATAAAAAGGGTCCATTATTTACTTAGTTTTTCAATGACATCTATTATTACAATCAGTCCTGTTTTTTACTTTGTTAGCTAGATTGATTGATGAGATCTGTGTATTTTTATTTTCATTCCAGCACATGTTTGCTAATGAGACAAAATATAACCTGGCTTTAGCTTGGGCTGGTCAGAATGATGCCGGAGTAAGTATTTCTCAGTGTGTCAGTATAATGTAACATGATTTTGTGACCTGACGGTGGTTCTTGTTTGTTTTCCCTCGTATTTTACCAGCCTTCAAATATTTATCTCTAACATCACATCTGATGTGGATTTTTTCTCGTTTACCTGATTTTGTGTAATCTTGTTTGCAAGAGTAACACCGTTCATGTCCTGTGCTGATAAAGACTTTCTGGTCACATTATTCACTTGTCGTTTGTGATAATGTGAGGTTGACTAGTTCTACTTGTTGTATGGTTTGATATTTTTTAATGGGAACATCAAATCAGTACTATTGTTTGGAGAAAGATTAAAACCATTTACTCATAAACCACAAACATTAATTAAACAGAAGCAATAGGGAACAGAAGGAATTAGTCACTACTGTAAACTTTGGGAGTCTCATCTTCTCATCTCATCTTGATCCTCTGGTACCTTGTGGGGAGAGTATTTAAACAAATTTCAGTATTTCAAGAGGTGAGGAAGAGGCCGTCATTAGATAGGACATATAATTAGATAATTAAAATGGCCTTGCACTGGAACCATCAGGATGAAAGAATGGACTCCCTACCTGCATGCTTGCACGCACACACTCATACACACACACACACAGAGAGAAGACGTTAGAAGAGTATAAGAAAGAGAGGTAACTAAGCTGAAGAGTAAGCTGATTAAATTTCCCACAGTTTAACTAGTCAACACTTTCATTCTTTTCTTTCATCACTTACACTTTTCCTCCTTGCTATTTATCATATTCTTATTGTTATCGTTAAAACCACATGTGCTGAGTTGATGCCGTCATTTTATTTGCCATCAGTTTTTTTTTTTAAACTTACTGTATTCATTGTTCAGATAGATAGTTTCAATATAATATCACGTATGTATCCGCCCCCCCCCCCCCCCCCACCTAAAAAAAACAACTTCGTGAAAGGTTATCCCAGAAGTAAGTCATATGGTGCATTGTATTAGGAAATTACACCAGGCTTACAATAAGTATATGTACTATTTATATATTTGACCTTTTTGCTGTTAGAGAAAAAGGAAGTTAAAAGTTTTGGGTTTTAGCTGTACCAGGATACACTATTGTCTTTAGGGAGATAAGCCAGCTAAACTAAACTAGGATTTGATGCTATAAAACTATGACCTGCTGAGAGTCGCATGCTGTGGGAATATACAACAGTGATGTGTTTGTAAATGTTGCCAAAATACCTTATTTGTTCTTTTCTTTCCTTTAGCAGCTTTCTTTTCTTATTTGCTGTCTACCTGTTACCTTGAACTTTCTCTCTAGTGTGATTTTCATAAGTGTTTTCCTTTAGCAGCTTTCTTTTCTTATTGCTGTCTACCTGTTACCTTGAACTTTCTCTCTAGTGTGATTTTCATAAGTGTTGTTTCGGTAAATGTTGTTAAAATACCTCATTAGTTCTTTTTTCCTTTAGCAGCTTTCTTTTCGTTCACAGTATTATTGTCAACACAACCAAATATTAAAAGCTGCAGCTTTTAGGGTTAAGTCAAAAGGATTGACTTCATTGCACAGGGTTTTATCATAAAAGACTCCGTCTCTCTCCACAGAACATCTGGCCACTTGCTCAAAGCATAAAACAAATCATGAACACCATAGCTCCTTTGATGATCTCCAGGGGTATCCGCTCCTTTGACGATCTCCAGGGGTATCCATACAGTTGTACATTAGTGAATCAAGCGGAAAAGCTACAGCTTTACACTTGATGGCACACATATGTGCACCAACATGCACACTTACTAAGTCCATGTGCACACCCACTCACAGTGTATATCCGTGGAATCTTGTCCTGACAAATAAGAAGGCAAATATCATTTACCCACAAGTATTTGGAATGAAACCTCTGTGTTAGTAGTCTAGGTTGCTGTTGCACAGCCAGGGAGACACACTTTATACAGTTCCAAATGAGCTTCTTCTTCACTTTTTCTTTTTTATGTACCTTAAAAGTTTCCTTTTTATTGTTCTTCCCCTTTTTTACTTTCTTATTTTTCTTCTTCACCTTCTACTTCACTTTTTTCTTATGAATTTCAACAGCCCCTGCTTTTTTTTTTTTTTATTCTGCTGTACAAATCCAGAGAACAGCCGTGCTTATTATATTGTGATTATTTTAAGGAAAGGATAGTGGCCTAGAGAAATGTAAAAAAAAAAAAATATATAACTTGTTTTCTGTAGTTGCACAGGGAAGACAAAGATAAAGTAGAAGACAAAGTATTTGAATGGCTTGACCAGATTCATAATCTCGACAAGAAAGAAAACCTAAAACCAAGCTCTGATATTTGTGAGATAGTAGGCCGATGACTATCCCTGCTTAACGCCAGCATGCCTTACACAGTAATATATGTGAAACTGCTGATTTGTTAAGACTGCTGCTGCCAGCGATGATTTGTAATGATGGATTGTTGGTGTCTTCTCTGATGACTGCCTTATACATTTAACACATGTGCTAGATGTTGATTTTGTGATGACTGCTGTGTTTTACTTTTCACATGGGACAGTGTGTGGGGTGTTTGCTGGTGGGACACCAGGGAACCTATGGTGAATTTATGAATTTATAACCATGATTAATGGCTTATCACTAATTATGTGTGATGGGGATAAACCATTTTGGTCTCTTCCTTATTACTAACTTACAAATTATTCCTAATATGAACATTAGACCTTCATTTTACTGGTGTTATCTGAAAATGCCAGGCTTACAATTTACTGTTCAGGTTGTAATACCAAAAGTATTGGGGTGGGGGGGGGGGCAACTTCATTTTTGATGTAAATTGTTCATATGAACTTGATTTACTTTCAGATTTTGTTGGTGCTTACAACAAAAGAGCTGGATGTTTTCCAAATTCCAGAATCAACTTTATGGAGAAGGTGACTCTAGGATATTCACACATCCATTTTTTAATTAAGAATTTTTTTTTTAACCAATATTTATATCAAAGCTGTGTTCCCATTATGTCAGTAACTAAGTTTAAAACAAATTTCATTATTGTTGGCACTATTTTTTTTAACACTGGTGAGAACCACAACTTTTTTTTTTTTTAAACTGGAAGATAGCCCTGGAAATAAGTTAATTAAAAATGAATTATTGATGCAGCTAAAAGAAAATACTTTCATGCAGGCAAAAGGAAAAAAGAGATTCTAAGGACATATATCTCCCAAAAATTAGCCTTATTTCTGCTAATTAATTATATTAATAGAATGTTCTTGCACTAGAAGCCATGAGGCCAAAGAGATCGAAAGAAACAAAAATAAATCAGCTCAGCAGTGGGAGATAGAGAAGATTCATGTCAGAAAGTCATACAGTGAGCTGCACAAAACGGCAAAGGACAGGTTGGCACAAATTGGTTGACAACTTTTGCTGCATTTCCAGATTAAGTGCTAACTGATCTATAAAAACAGAACCAGCTTTTTTATGTCACATGCACAAATAGATTTAGAGATGAGTCTTGGTTGTTGTTACAATTTTCCTTTTTTGAATCATATTTTCAGTAAAGACCATGGTCGTAATTGGGAAGACTGGTCAAGTCATGTGGACAATAAAGTCTTTAGAAAAGATGATGGTCTGCAGCGTAACCCTCACAATCCCAGCAAGGTACATGTGTTGTTTTTTTCTGTGGAAATCTGTATGTCTATTGCTATAAATATATATAGAATAGTCTTGGTTCTTTTTTTGTGTGTGTAGAAATCTGTATGTCTATTGCTATAAATATATATAGAATAGTCTTGGTTCTTTTTTTTGTGTGTGTAGAAATCTGTATGTCTATTGCTATAAATATATATAGAATAGTCTTGGTTCTTTTTTTGTGTGTGTAGAAATCTGTATGTCTATTGCTATAAATATATATAGAATAGTCTTGGTTCTTTTTTTTTTTCAGGTATCAGAAAATTAATGTTATGTAACTTTGTTAAGAAAATTCCTTGAAAAAAAAAAGAATTTCAGATACCTAAAGTTTTATTGGGAGGGATTTTAGTTTCTAACTATAAAATCTCCTCCTCCTCCTCCCTTCTCATTACCATCCTAATAGGCACTTGACTTCTCAGGAAAGTAAATGAGGTTAAAGTGTCATTTATTTCATGTAATTGCTTTTGTATTTATGTATTAAGCATTATATAAATTATTGTATGCAGCTTCATCAATGTACAGAAGGACTGTTTTTTTTTTCCAGAACGAATTAATCATTCTGCCTTTATTTACCTATAGCACACATTTTTTGGTATACATACTATTTGATATATGTCCAAGGATCTTCTTCTTCTTAAAGTCCATGCCATGTGGCAATGGTAGTCATATCTATCCACAACCTTTTGTCAACTTTGGTACAGATGATCCTCCATGTCGTGATGTCAGACTGTCCAGCATCTTTTCTTTTGGTCTTCCTCTGCCTCTCCTCTCCTCTGACTTTCCTGCTGTCACAGTGTACTCCAGTTTTATCCTTCTCATCACATAACCAAAGAATATAGATTGTTTCTTTCTGATGTGAGCAGTCAGTTTCTTTCAAGACATCTTCCTTACTCTTTTTTTTCCAAGGATCAGGAATGGATAAGTATGTATACTGAGGTATCACTGTACTTTATTCATCTCACATACTTTCACAAAGAAAATTCCTTTTTTATTCGTTTTCGTGCATCCCTAGATAAACATGCACACCAATATTGTCCTAATCAAATGTTTCAGTTGTTTGGCTTGCTTTAGAGTTTCCTAGTCATTCCACTCCATAGTTCTTTGTCATGTCTTCTTCTTCTTCAGCATTCGTAACCCTTGAGGTTCATTGCTGCAGATATCACCTGCCCCTACATTTATCTCTCTGGTTGGCCTTCTTTTTCCAGTTGGTGACACCAAGTGTTCGCAGGTCTGATTGGATATTATCTCTCCATCGTCTTCTTGGTCTGCCTCATGGTCTATGACCATTCATCTCCCTCTTGTGTGCAGTTTTGACTTCTCTGTCATCCGACATTCTTTCAATATGCCCAAACTGTCTTCTGCCAGTCATTTTATTTACATGTAAGTCTACAAACTGTCAGTCAGATATCTGTCTCATGTTCATGTCTAAAGAACTTATGAATGCACAGTGTAGTGTAAGCAGAATCAGTCAGATCTTTGCCTATCTAAACAAGAATTAGTGAGTACACAATAGTAATGTGGTTTCTCTTAATGGCACGCCACTTTAAGACGTGGAGTCCTGCACCTATTTGGGTAGTAATGTAGATAAAGATGGAGGAAATGATATAGATATTAAAATAAGGATACAAAAGGCAAGAAGACCTTTTATAGCACTATGGAATTTGTGGAGGTCAAAAGAAATATCAAACTAAAAATTTTTTAATTCTAATGTCAAATCAGTACTTTTGTATGGGGAGGAAAAATGGAGAACAACTAAGGCAATTACTAATAAATTACAGACATTCATTAACTCTTTCATGACCACATTTTTCCTGGGGTTTGGATGGCATTAATTTTGAGCGAACTTTTTTTACTGCAACATGACAAAGCTAAAACCTTCCTGAAGAAAAAGTATTGGCTGTATCGGGACATATAATATATCAATTTAAAGATCAATGAGTGTAGAATAAATCTAAACTATTTAAATGTCAGTATAACAACAAAATGTTAATAAAATCACACAACACTGAAGGATGTTAGACACTTATGAAAATTATTGACATAATAAAAAAATGTGTGCTTACCTTTTTTTACTTGTTCAGCAACACCGCTATCCAATTCTAAGAATATATATGCCTTTTCTGTTCAATTATGTGTCAGCTGGTCTTTATTTGAAACAGTTAATTTAAATACTTTGGATGTTATGATCATTTTTGTTTGACGTGTCAGTTTTCACAACTACCGAAAATCGGAAAAACAGCTGATTGAAACATTGATCTGATTGAAGTATGTTGTGAAATTTTCATATCCTAAACTAAATTATCGCTAGTAGATTTGTCACTTAGATATCAATCATAATATCAAGACTGTTGTCACCATCTGGCAGTGATTCATCAACAATAAAGCAGTATGAACAGTTCTAGACCTTTTCCCCCTATCATTTCGCATACAAAAATCCCGTAAAAAATGTATCCCATCTAAATAAAAAAAAATGTTAATCAGAAAATAATGCACCGACCACAATGCACATCGCAAGTGAAAGGACTTCCTGTTGTTAATCCGAATTGTTCAAAAACGTGTTCATGAAAGTTTGTTTTCCCTACAAATGGAACAAAACTAGAGTGTCTTTATCATGATCCAGTTTACTGGCGATGCGTCTTTAAGGGATGGACTTAATCGCCAGTATACTGGCTAAACGTCCGTAAAGAGTTAACTGGTGCCTGCACAGAATAGAGGGGATTAAATGGTATGATTGAATAACTAATGTAGAGCTTTGGGAGAGAACTAAAGAGGCTCCAGTGGGCCAAGAGGTGAGGAAAAAACGCTGGCATTACATGGCGCTGGATAGGACACACACTGAGAAAACAGGAGAGCAACATAACTAAAATATCTTTGCATTGGAACCCACAGGGGCATAGGAATAAAGGAAGACCAAAAAACACATGGAGAAGAGAGCTGGAGAATGAAGTTAGAAAGATGGGGAGAGCTCCATGTAATGGCAAAGGATAGAACGACTTGGCGGGAGTTGGTTGAGGGCCTATACTCCATTGGGGGATAAAAAGGCAGAAGAAGAATACACAAAATTATGTAAGAAAAATGTCAGATCTTTATTGTATGTTCATCTAAAGTTGTTACAAGTACATAGTTAAGTGTAAGCAAATTATCATCAGTATCTTTGTTCTGTGTTATCCTTGAAAAAAAATACTAATGAATACACATTTGTTTTTGCTTGTAAGTAAACATTCTGTCAGATCATTCGCGTCCATATTTTGTTTCTGGGGGCCCATTTTGATGGAAAGCATGTTAATTAAAATAAAGACTAATTAATGATTTGCTGCAATCGGACATGTTGGGCTGAGAGGTGCATATATCAAACAGGCCTAGCTGTAAACCACAACACAACCATCCTTATGAGGTTAAATGCGAAGGGAAAGAAAAAGAAAGATTTATGTTCCATGTTCATTCATCTCTAAGTAAGAATTATAGAATGCAAGCAAACCATCAGAATTGATTTGTATTCTCATTAACAGGTGTATTTAGTCAGCTATGAACATTTCATCTATGTAACTGAAAATGGCGGTGAGAGCTGGACAAAAAGTGACCTTACCTCTGAGGCAGGGACCTCACTCAGTGTCGATGAGCAGCTGGAGTTCCACCCGGAGCCACAGTTTGAGGACTATGTGGCTGTCATATCTAATGATAGGAAGGTTAGTTTTATGGAGAATTGATTTGGTCTTTTTAGTTGACTGATGGACGCCAAACTTTTTGTTTTCAGGATTACCATTATTTTGCACAAAATATTTAAAATATCTGATACGGAAACCTTTGTTCTTTTAAAGCTAAGAACCTGGTCTACCTTGCCATAACATTAGGTTTTGATGTTAACTCTCCCCAATGCGCTCTTTGTCTAAAGCCATTGGTACAGTGTGGGATGTCTGATTTGGTAAGGTTGGCAATATTTGGCATTAACATAACAGAAAACAGATTGTACCAACTATTGTTAGGTAGCTGACCTGACTATAGACTTCAGTAAAATGTAAAAAAAAAAAAAAAGGGGGGGGGGAGGCTAAAGGTCCAACAAATTTTTAAATAATATTTTTAAGTTATGGCCCTTGCCTGTCACAGATTTTTCTGGCTTATTTTCATTTCCGGTGTTCACCTGCATGTTAGAGATTCAGCTGGCCAGAAATATGTGTGGATTTCTCCCAGAGATAGAGATACTTAAGTCAAATGATTTTGTGTATTCTTGTTCATATGTGTGTGGCTTTGTCTGTTCATGTAATGTCCTGATACAGTATTTCTAGCTGAAGTGTTTACTTTAAGTTTGTGATAATGTGGAGCTGACTAGTTCTACTTTTCATTTGGTTTGGTATCTTTTCATGAAATAAAAAGACTAATCCATTTGATTGCAGCTGTATGTGACATACAATAACTTCCTAACCAATGCTGAGACAATCAAGTCAGGAGTTCATACAGTCAGATGGTGAGTGTTATGTATTGTTTATTGGACTTTATGTTATCATCATTATCCTATGCTAGGACTGTTCAGCCCGTGAAGGCCTAGCAAGTGGTCCGCGGATCATTGCCAGTTGTATTGAATCAATGATCTTTCTCTGCCTGGGCTTAGGCTTCTGGCCAGCGACCAATCCCCATTTTCAAATTTCTGGCGGGAATCTTTAATGCAGGACAGCCTAGCGCAGGATACAACATCTAGAATGAGACTGGAGGCGGTCATGCGGCTTTCCGGTGGCTAGAGAACAAGGTGCATACACACTTTGTAATTGTAATGGATTCTGGAAGCATGCTGAGAAAGGTGAAGACAGGTTTGCTTCATGTAGAGTGGCAAGCTTCACTTGGAAGGTCAGGGGTAGTGAGCATACTTTGGATCTTTTCTCCAGGCTGTGCCGGCGTGGAGGGGAATGATCAAGCAGACAGGTTTCTTCAGGCCATGCCGACATGGTGGGGATTGAACATGCAGACAGATTCGCTAGATGTGCACTACTGGGTGATGAATTAATACATGAGAAAGTAGATGTCGTCAGGGCCCTTTGGGAACAAGTAACGAAGTCAGAAGAGAAAGGGGATTATTATAGCTTGGAGAGAAGCATGCACCTGGGTGTGACCAGAGGGTTTGGCCAGCTCGCTACACTCAGGCAAGACAGACATATAACCAGACTGCAGCTGGTTCCATTACCATTGGTACTCTACGCTAGCTGCTGAAGATGTGGATGGAGCACATATGGGAATGCCTTGAGTGCTGTGATGTCGATTCTTGACTCGGCTCAACTCAAACTTTTGTGCCTCTGAGTAAACTTAGTTGAAAAACCCTGCTTTGTTCTATGCTGAGGGTAAAAGTAAAGGGTTCTTTTCAAGCCATTGAGCATAAGGTGTTACACCCATAGCTTTAAGGACCAGTTTGTATTCAATGGGTGATTTGGTCAAAACTGTATGTCTTGACATTACCCTGGTGTTCGTTTAAATCGGGGTCAGTCTAGGTTAGTTTTTTAAATTTTTAAAAAATCTACTCAATGCTGATTTCCTAAGACCGCTTGACTGTCAGGCAAGTGTCTGTCACTGATAGTCGTAGCAGGGACAGTGAGGGGTATTGGTGTAAAGATTCCTTACTTACATCTATCCCTGATATTCTTATTCACATTCTATTTCAAGCCGCCCATCATTTTCTTTATCTGATATTTTACTGCCCGTCAAAAATTTTCTTTCACTGTGATATTGTGTTGCCTATCCAACATTTTCTTTAACTGTGATATTTTGTTGCCTATCCAACATTTTCTTTAACTGTGATATTTTGTTGCCTATCTAACATTTTCTTTCACTGTGATATTGTGTTGCTTATCCAACATTTTCTTTCACTGTGAAATTCTTTTGGCCTCTCCAACATTTTTTTTAACTGTTGACATTTTGTTGCCTACCCAACATTTTTCTTTAACTGTGATCATCATTTTTTTATCTGATATTTTACTGCCCGTCAAAAATTTTCTTTCACTGTGATATTGTGTTGCCTATCCAACATTTTCTTTAACTGTGATATTTTGTTGCCTATCCAACATTTTCTTTAACTGTGATATTTTGTTGCCTATCTAACATTTTCTTTCACTGTGATATTGTGTTGCTTATCCAACATTTTCTTTAACTGTGAAATTGTTTTGGCCTCTCCAACATTTTCTTTAACTGTTGACATTTTGTTGCCTACCCAACATTTTTCTTTAACTGTGATATTTTGTTGCCTGATACGTGCGGCGCTTCTTTGTAACGAGTGTAAAAGTGACTAGGGGTGTCGCAAGTTAACAAGTGGCATCAACACTTAACATGCCACTGGCCAAGAGTAACACAACATGATGAATGCTGAAGCTTCCCGTAGTAGAACAAGAACTCTCTTTAAAAGTTCCATTTGTGTATTGACAAATGCAATGATCAATTTCAAGAATACATATGCAAGTAATCATCAACTCGTTCAACCAAAGCTCGCTCGTACATCCATGTAATGATATGTCCTCACGATAGGTCGCAGTCCGACCTTGAGATCCAGACGATTTACTCTCTCCTCGGACAGGTCCGAATTAAGCAATGAAAGTATACCGGCTTACTGCCGAGAATGTAGTGCTCACCAGCTTCCTGCTGAGGTCTTGGAGTCCCGGGGTAAAACATCTTCAAGGATCCAACTTTATATAACGTTTGCTTCCGTGGGATCCCGGGGTAAAGCGTCCTCAAGGATTCCCACGTCCGTCTCCTTCGAACTATAAACATCAACTGCGAAGTATACCGGCTTACTGCCGAAATGTGGCATCCCGGGGTAAAGCATCCTCAAGGATCCACACCAAGGCCGGACCAAACCGTCCGCCTTGGTCAAACTTCGACTTACATCTCCTAGAATACAATTCCTTCACAACCTGACGTATTGTTTTGACGTCTTATTTGCTCACTCAGTACTGGTGCGTTCTAGTGCACATTCGCACGCGACATTGCCTATCCAGCATTTTCTTTAACTGATATTTTGTTGCCTGTCCAAAATTTTCTTTGACTGTGATATTTTCTTCTTCAACACCCATTACTGATTGTCACAGCCTGCTCCAGACTCCTGACATTGTTGAAGAATGACCTTCGTTCATCCTTACCCGCTTTTCCGCTGCAGGCTATGCCTGGCTGGTTATTGGTGTCCCAGTTGTGACCTCTTTGCAGGTTAAACGGGGTACCTGGATCTGCCTAGCTGATCTGCCATTCAGATTAGGATTTTTTTAAATCTTAGGGTGGTGTTGGTGAACATTTTGATAGCAGCCCAGTGAGGACAGACTCTGATGTGTCATAATTGTGAAACTGTGCACTTGACTCCTATGCCCTGATGCTGTCAAGAAAGTGTAACTTGTGTAATTAGACCCACACAAATATATGCTTTTAAATGCTGCACAGAACATCTTTACCTTTTTTGTCCCCAAGGCAATTTTGCTTTCTTATTTTTTTCTTTAAGTGATACTTGATATATTTAATCGAAAATAAAAGTGTTGTATTTTAAAATATCAGATCAGCTCAGCGGTAACAGAGCCAGCGGTCGACCGCTTAGAAGATGGACTGCAGAAACTGAAAAGTACTTTAGACGAAGCAAACAGAAGGGTCCGTTCCGGAGATCTCTTATCTCTTCCTGCCCTGAGGCATGCCAGGAGCACATGAAAGAAGAAGAAGAAGAGATCAGCTCATTTAGTAGTGAGCTTGTGAGGGTACCAGAATGAAAACATCATCATCATCATCAAATGCCTTGCGAACTGGCGTGGGCCTCTTCACAATCTGGGATCTTCTGCAGCATGTATCAGTTCATTTGCTGACACACCTCCATGCCATGCAACAAGACTGTCAAGAATCTTCTCTCGTTGTCTTCCTCTATCCCTCCTTCCACATACTTTTTCAGTGGTCACATGTTCTATTTTCCCTCTTCTCATAACATGGCCAAAAAATGATGACTGTCGCCTTCTGATGTCTGTGACAAGTTGTCTTCGGTCTCCTGTCTTTTTGAATGAAAGCATCAGCACTTAAGTCTTGTTGTCCTTCTTAGTATATCCAGGAGCAAGATATTTACAAATGTGGTGCTAATTTTACAGTGCATAGGGTTTGTGTTAAAGAGGTTTATATCTTCTGCAGGGGTACAGCAGAGTCACAGACAGAGAAATGCTTGTATGTTACAACCGGGGACTTCACAAACCCTCTTATTCGTAAGTGTCCCACTGTTTGAATTGACTGACAATACACAAATGTTCCACCATTTAGCAAGGAAAAAAAGGATTAATAGAGGAGCCCCCAATATCTTTCAGAGAACTTTTTTTTATTTTGGACGTCGCTAACATGACTATCTTTAACAGAGTATCAAACGGAGACATGGGGAAAAACATATTGTAGAAGTCGTTGACGTGGTCGACATAGACTTTATTAGCTACACATATCCTACACACGAAAACAGAAACCTTACCCCTGTCAGTCCTTACAAACCCAACCATCACTGTCCATTTATTCCTCACTCCCCTTTCTTTCACCTGTTCTACACCGATGTCACAGAAGTCCACCGGTGCACAAACACACATCTTTCAAAACAATGCTACATACAAAATAGCCCTACATTAATAGCTGGGTCCATGACAAATATAAATGTAGAAATAATAGGTGGGGGGGGGGGGGGGGGGGGGGGAGGTGTATGTATGTATGTGTATATATATATATATATATTTAAAAATGCAGCACTTTAAAGCATACTGTGTGTGTATTTTATAGACCAGCTGTCAGTCAGTGTATAATGTTGTCATTATCATGCTGGAAATTACAATTGCAAATAATATTCATATGGAATAATTCAGAATATATTTACATGAAATAGTTTAGAATAGACTCATATAGAATATGAGTATATTTATTACAGTGTGAGTTTTCCAGGGCCCTATTTGGGGGTGGAGAATAGGCACACTTCCACCCCCCCCCCCCCCCTTCCCCCACCAACAAGCATGTGGTAAAATTAAACTTATTGAGGGTTTCCTTCAGACTTGAAATGCATCAGTCTGTGAGGCAAATAACCAACAGTTTGCAAACAGATAAGCTAGATCTGTAAAATGGATATGTACTCAAAACTCGGGTTCTGGGACAAAAGTCAAGAAGTGGATGAACAACCAGAACTTTCTGCCAGAGTTTATAGCTAGTAAACAGGAAGAAGAAGAAACAATAACGTCAGAGAGGCATAAGTACTTTTATAGTAGTCAGAAAATAAGTATTTTTAATTTTTTTTAATTGCGCTCATTTCATCTAGCCTCTCATATAATTAATTATTTTACACATAAATCTAGCCTCTCATATAATTTATTTTCTTACACATTTCATCTAGTCTCTAATGTGATTTTTTTTTCTTGCACATTTCATCTAGTTTCTGGTGTAGCCTATTTTCTTGCACATTTCATCTAGTTTCTGGTGTAGCCTGTTTTCTTGCACATTTCATCTAGCCTCATGTAATTTATTTTTTTACACATTTCATCCAGTCTCTCATGTGACTTATTTTCTTGCACATTTCATCTAGTCTCTGTTACACTTTTCAGAGATTGGACCACAAATGATGGATTTAGAGCGTTATAACAGTACAACAAAGAACTGGAAAACTATTCTGAGGAGGGTGGTTTTGTTTAATGTGCAGGACAAGTTTATATATGCCTCAATTTTCAAGTCAGAGCGCCCAAAGACTCAGGCAAGTAGACATTGTGTATTATATATGACTTTCTAATATGGTGACTTTATAAGTAGAAGTAAACAATCCCTTTCCACATCTTCAGGTATATATATCTAGACCTATATTTTTATATAACAGTAACACTCGGTGGGTGATGAGGTCAACGACAAATATGATACTTACACTCGGTGGGTGATGAGGTCAACGACACATATGATACTTACTTGACTCTCTGTGGGTGATGAGGTCAACGACAAATATGATACTTACTTTACTCTCGGTGGGTGATGAGGTCAACGACACATATGATACTTTACTCTCGGGTGATGAGGTCAACGACAAATATGATACTTACTTTACTCTCGGTGGGTGATGAGGTCAACGACAAATATGATACTTACTTTACTCTCGGTGGGTGATGAGGTCAACGACACATATGATACTTACTTTACTCTCGGTGGGTGATGAGGTCAACGACACATATGATACTTACTTTACTCTCGGTGGGTGATGAGGTCAACGACACATATGATACTTACTTGACTCTCTGTGGGTGATGAGGTCAACGACAAATATGATACTTACTTTACTCTGTGTGTGATGAGGTCAACGACAAATATGATACTTACTTTACTCTCGGTGGGTGATGAGGTCAACGACAAATATGATACTTACTTTACTCTCGGTGGGTGATGAGGTCAACGACAAATATGATACTTACTTTACTCTCGGTGGGTGATGAGGTCAACGACACATATGATACTTACTTTACTCTCGGTGGGTGATGAGGTCAACGACAAATATGATACTTACTTTACTCTCGGTGGGTGATGGGGTCAACGACACATATGATACTTTACTCTCGGTGGGTGATGGGGTCAACGACACATATGATACTTTACTCTCGGTGGGTGATGAGGTCAACGACACATATGATACTTACTTTACTCTCGGTGGGTGATGGGGTCAACGACACATATGATACTTTACTCTCGGTGGGTGATGGGGTCAACGACAAATATGATACTTACACTCAGTGGGCGGTGTAGGCAGCAACACGTAGGGCACCTTAACTTCCCATGACTTTACCTGGTACCCATTAAGGCTGGGTCAGCCATTGAGTTGAGGCTATTTAAAAAAAAAAAATGCTCCATCAGGACATTAAATCATCACCTAAAGATCCACAGGCGAGCTTTTAGCCGCAACAATGCAGCAGATCCTATTGCCTTCACAGTATAGCTGAAATATTTCACTTGACTCTTTATTTGTTCAACAACTCCCTTTTTTTTTCTCAGCCTCTCAAAACTGCTGTTTTTGATTGTTTTTGTATCCATAAAATACAAATATTTGGTTTATGAAGTTGGCCTACTGTCTCAAAGGTCAAAGGTTCAAATCAACATCAAGACATACTTTTTTCTTTTTTCAAACCCTGGATTCTTGGTCTTCCCAGCATAAAATAGGAAGCTGGCAATATCCTGGGAAATAGAGGTGGCTGGCTTGATGTTAACTACATAACTCTCAAGTGCTGATTTGTCTAAAAATATAGGTCTATCCACAAGGCCTGTTTTTGCTTTTGTATCCCTATCTTCAGGGCCTGAGTTCAGTTTTCTCCCCAGATCAGGATATTTGTAGTATGTGGATTATGGGATTTGGGGGACATTGATTTTTGAACAGGTCTTGAGGCGGTCAGTAATGCATCATGGGACATTGATTTTTGAACAGGTCTTGAGGCGGTCAGTAATGCATCATGGGACATTGATTTTTGAACAGGTCTTGAGGCGGTCAGTAATGCATCATGGGACATTGATTTTTGAACAGGTCTTGAGGCGGTCAGTAATGCATCACGGGGCATTGATTTTTGAACAGGTCTTGAGGGGGTCAGTAATGCATCACGGGGCATTGATTTTTGAACAGGTCTTGAGGCGGTCAGTAATGCATCATGGGACATTGATTTTTTAACAGGTCTTGAGGCGGTCAGTAATGCATCATGGGACATTGATTTTTGAACAGGTCTTAAGTAATGTGTCACGGTCTCGCTCGGGAGGAGGTGTTCCAGTGACCTTCTAGATAAGTGAAGGAAGGAAGCTGTCGGACTACAGAGTAAATGCTTGTCGCTTCTCTGAAGTTATCTTTTCTTGGTTTCTTACACAGGATGATGAGAGACTGATGATGATTTCCTCTGATGGAGGGGAGACGTGGGGTGAGGCCCAGCTTCCAACTCTCACCGGAGATAGGGTAAGTTGATATTAGGAAGATATTACATATCACTGAAAAAACATCTCTCTGTGGATTCTGGGGGCCCCGTTGTGGGAAAAACAAGAATAGACCCACTGCCTCCCCAACAGTCGTGGCATAAGAGTCGGCTGATTGGCTTCCTTTGAAGTCATTGTGCATCTGTCTTTGAATCATTTCTTAGCTGCAATAAAACAGAGGAAAGCAATGGAGAACATAAAAACAACTCGGAACTAACGGCAGAGGAACTAGAGCCAGGTATATTATTAGATGAAGTAGAATATGTCATTCGTACCGCCTCTAGACTAAAAGCAACAGGGATTATTGATCTGCTAGCTGAGGCCATCAAAGCAGCAGGAGAAGCAGGAGCAATATGGTTTAAAAGAATATTTCAGGTCGCATAGGAAAATCAAGAAATATCAGATTGGCAAACTGTCATCATCCCGCTATGGAAAAATTAAGGAAGTAAGAGGGAATGTACTAATTACAGAGGAATATCGCTTCTCAGACACACTGGGAAAATGTATGCTATGATCATCAATAAAAGTTTAACACCATTGATCGAGTGTCAACTTTCAGAAGCACAGATGGGCTTTTGACGAAACAGAGGTTGCACAGATGCCATTTATACCTTGAGACAACTATCAAAGAGAGCAATAGACCACGATAAGACATGTTTGTAGACCAAGAAAAAGCCTTTGATAGTGTCGACAGGAATATGTTGTGGGAATGTATAGGGAAAAATGGAATCAGCAATCATCTCATTAATATTTGCAAAAGCCTGTACACACATAGTAAATGCTGCATAAGAACGAAAGCAGGATTGTCAAGAACTTTTATAGTGAACTCTGGTGTGTGTGTCATTGTTGTGTACTATCGCCGCATCTTTTTATAATATACATGAATACCATATGTAAGGTAACAAACTTTAATCATGAAGATGATATTTCAGAATTGCTATTCCCTGACGACCAGGTACTCATAGCAAAAAGATAGAGACAAAGACAATTTAGAAATAAAATTAAAAACACCTTAAGACAAACAGAGGAATTTAAGTATTTGAGAGCAATTTTTACATTCGACTAAAAAATGGACAGAAAAACTAGCTCGAGATGTGCCAAAGTTAATCACGTAGTGGGGCAACTATCTTCCCTGTTGACACACAAGCAAATACCCCAGAGTAACTAAAGTAAATTTTATCAGAACTATTTTTTGGCCAGCACTATGCTATCAGTGCCAAACGTGGACACTTACATCCTCCAATGAACATATAATTATGACAACAGAGATGAAATGCCTTAGAAGAGCTGCAAGAGTTTCAAGGAAAGACAGAATACAAAATCACACAAATGCTAGGAGTAAAGCCAGTTTTAGAGATCATCAAAGAACAACAAATGAAGTGGTTTGGACACCTAACAAGAATGCCCTGGTACTATCTGACACAGCGAGCCACACTAAAATGGTACAACGGATATAGAACGAGTGGAAGACCTTGAAAAAATAGAGTGATGGCATTAAGAAAAGCCGTACAGAAATGAACATCAGTCTTAATAGTGCTCTTGACAGAGCTCATCACCGAATGTTACATCCCCCCCCCCCCCCCACACACACACACACACACACTTCAAAGAAGTACAAGATGGAAGAGAAGAAGAAGAAATGCATCTGTCTGAGAGACAAAGAACAACAAATCTGCATACAACAGAGTCAGATTTGTTTAACAGATGTGCACGCAACAACCAGGTTTTGGAACAAGACTCAAGTCCAGAAGTGGACCTAAAACCAGAACTTTCCAACGAAGTTTACAGCCAGTGAAGACAAAGAAGAAAGAAGGTTGACAGAAATGTTGACTGTGTCTTTGTTACCTTGCAAATGTAGGTATTTAGAAGACAGTTGATTTCAGCGGACAAAATCAAGATATCTCTGCCATGAAGATTTCTGTGACTTTGAGGGCTTCTATGACATTAGATGTCCGATTCATTGGCATTTAGGGAGCCTGAGCCATGAAAAGGGTTAGTATTTTTCAGAAGCAATAGGGGAGGTGCAGGGACTTTTCCGTGGTACAATCTCCACAGGGATTGGGGTATTGTAGAACTGTCCTTCCCCCTCCCTGAGCTAAGAAATCAGCTGTGGGTGCAGGAATGGTAACAGAACTTCATATCTGTATAGAGAGGCACAAAGAAGGCAACCAAATTTTGATGGAACACATGACGCTCACCTGAAGATCCGAAGGTTGTGGGTTCAAATTCAAAGGGAGACAGACTTTTTTTCAAATATGACTTTGGTTTTTTGTGTGGTAAAGTCATGGAAAGCAAAGGCACCCGGCATGATGTTGAAATTTGGCAGTGTTATTCGTTTTATACTGATATGACATGAAAAAAAAAAATGCTCCTACGTTTGATTATCTATTGTTTTCAACCCTGTTGTCCCAAGAAAGATTTTCCTGCATTTGCAGGCTACTAATGACATGAAGTCTTCAACCAGGGGCTGAATTATGGTTTGATATTTGCACCCAGCAGTAAAAACCCCAAAACATTACAGAGCATTTGAACCTGGGTCTTCTACAGGATAACCTGGTTTTCCTAATTGTTCAAAAGTAACAGTAGATAAAGAAATGAATTAACATAACAGAAGAACTGGCACAGAAAGAGTAAAGTGTACTGTATAAAAGTAAACATTGAGCATGCTGTCAGTTCCCTGTTACTGAAATAGTTAATAATATCAAATTTATAAGTTCAGGCAGGCCCACTTTGCTTGTGGAACAGCATGTTTAGCTTGAAGAAACAAACTAGCTGAAAAGCTGAAACTGATTGTTATCTTCGGGTGCCCATTTTAAGATGGGTCATTCAAGTATCTATTTAAGGTGGGTCGACTTCGAAGCCTAGTTCAGTTATGGTAATCTGCTTTGGTGTGAAATCAAACCCAAGAACTTTGGTCCAGTGTGCAACGTGTAGCTGCTAAGCTACTGTTGTTTCAGAAAATGTAATGACAATCTTTACACATTAGATAGGTTGGTTTTACTTAACAGTCGGTATTTGATAACTGTAAACTTTGTTTGACATTAACCAGACACTGGCCATGGTGTACTGTACACATCCTCCTCATCTGGTTTGGTGTATTCTGAGTCTTTGAGAAACCATCTCTTCCCCAACTACAATATAGTGCATGACTTTTACAAGGTGAGCTATAGGATAGTGCCTGGGCTTTGCAAATGTGTTGGGGATGTGTGATTTTTATCTGGGCTGTGTGATTGTGTCTAGACTTTGCAAATGTGTCTGGGATGTGTGGTATTTGTCTGGGCTGTGTGAGTGCATTTTGAGCTATGTAAATGTGTTTGGGTTGCTTTAATGTGTTTTGGCTGTTTAAGTGTTCCTGGGCTGTGTCAGTGTGGCTGGGTTCTGTGAATGTGTCTGGGTAGTTTTAGTGTGTTTTGGCTGTTCGAGCGTGCTTGGCTTTGTGGATGTGTCTGGGATGTGTGACCACATCTGAGCTGTGCAGCATGTCTGGATTGTGTGATTGTCTGAGATGTGTGATTGTATCTGGGTTCTATGATTGTGTTTGGGATGAGGGATTTTGTCTTAGATGTGTGAATGTTTCTGGGCTGTGTGATAGTGTCTGAGCTATGTGATTGTTCCTGAGGTTTGTGATTGTGTCTAGACTGTGTAATTTTGTCTGGAATGTGTGATTCCATCTGGGTTCGGTCAAGAATTTCCCCTTTCTGTTTTTAGATACTTAATGAGCAGAATAACGAAATTACTGGTTTCCTCAGGTGGAATCTATTCGGGGTGTATACCTGGCTAGCCAGATGAGTGATGACAAGTCCATCCATACAATGATCACCTACAACAGAGGGGCCGAGTGGAAGAAAGTGCCAAGACCTATTGGTGTAGAATGTCAGAATGATGAAAAGGTCAGTATCAATCAAGTATTTAACCCTACCAGACCTGAAGCCCTGAACCTAACTGTCCCTTATACCTGAGCTCCTGGGCATAAACACGTAAAACCAACATGATATATATTAGTTACATACAAACAAGTGGTTAGAATAAGATTAAACTTGGAGACATTGTAGAAAATAGGTTTACCTTTTATCTAGCGCCAATATTCCAACTTTGTGTGCCAATCCACCCACCAGGATCAGCCTTGTTTCAGAAAGTGAGCACCAGATGTTGCTGTTTGAGGGACACTCCCCTTTCTCTTACTAACGATCTAGTTTCAAATCTATATTCTTTAAGATTCTCCTTATCACTTGAGCTCTTACTGGCTGTCACTTCAACTGGGAGCATAGTTTTCATTAAATTCTGACTCCTCAGAGTCTGAATCAACCAAAGTATCCATCATCTGTTGGACTGTGAGAAACCTAGACCTACTTCACTTTCCTGTCGAAATGCTTCATCAGCCACTCGTTTCATTGTAAACGTTCTGAATTTTTTTCACGTTAAACAACACAAAGTAAATCCAAACACCCATGGGCAGCCATTCGCAATGACTAACCACAAGAGAATGGTTGGTTATTTTTAGTTTGTGACGTGTTTTATCACGTATTACGCAAAGTACTGAAAATTAGGTACAGTGGTTTAGCAGCAGATTAGGAAATTACCGGAAAAGCGGTACAGCTGTCTGCTTTCTGTTTTGTAAGTAAAGAGTAAAGGACCCTGTTAATGCTAGTGGAAGTCGGGCATGTGAGGGTAGACCATGACCAGTCGGCACACACTGGGCGGTGTGGTCAATATCAGGCTTGCTGCCCTTACATTACATGACATTGCCTGGTACCTGTTTTTGGGCAGGGACAACATGGGAGTCAAGTAACATTTTATTTTTTATTTTTTAAATCAAGCTGGTGCAGATTTGAATCCAGAACTTATGGGTTGGCATAAAGCCATCTAGATTAGTATTTTTGAGTACCATAAATGAAGAACATATCTGGATTAAATAATTTCAGAATTTTGACTTCGGAATGTACATTTTTGTAGATTTTTACTTAACAAATTTGCTTTTGATGAGGATTCATCATTATCATGTATGCATTGCATAAGACTAATTTTGTATTTCTTGTGACATTTTTTTTAGAGTATTATAGATAGACTCCAATCCACCAACTCTGTTGGATAGATTTGTCTTGGATATATAGGTTAGGACTAGTTGCTTATATAATGGTTAGAACACATGAGCTATCAGGCAGGAAACCTGGACTCGAATCTTTAGTTAGGTGATGTTAAAGGCGAAAATTGAAACTTTACATGTGGTCTCAAGTCCTTAGGCTCAACAAACCTTTGCCATGCTCCATCTATCTACACCACTAAAACAACACACACAAAAATGATTTCTTTTCAGCGCCCCCCCCCCCCCACCCCCACCCCATCTCGGGGGCTCTGAGATTTCATAAGGAATTCCTATGAAGTTTGCTGGAATGTCCTATTGTGTGTGTGTGTATCTTAGTCTGTGTTCATTTAACACTAACCCTAAAACTCCTCAATTCTAGGGTGTCATGTGTTGGTTGTTTTCATCATTTATTGTTTCATGTCCAGTGTGTTACTTTCATTCGTTCATTGCTACCACTGTGCCCTGTTTGGAAGCGGTGTTCTGACTTTGTGACTTCACCTTCACTATGAATTTCCTTTACCTGTCAGCAACGCTGCGTTTTACGCTAACCCTAACCCACTAGTATATATACATGGGTGCTGTCAGTCCTTTTCATGGCTCGTTCTAGTTCATGGTGAGTCTGGTGACAGATATTTAGAACCTTCTAATGGAATAGATCTGGTTTATGGTGAGTCTGGTGACAGATATTTAGAACCTTCTAATGGAATAGATCTGGTTTATGGTGAGTCTGGTGACAGATATTTAGAACCTACTAATGGAATAGTTCTAGTTCATGGTGAGTCTGGTGACAGATATTTAGAACCTTCTAATGGAATAGATCTGGTTTATGGTGAGTCTGGTGACAGATATTTAGAACCTACTAATGGAATAGCTCTAGTTCATGGTGAGTCTGGTGACAGATATTTAGAACCTACTAATGGAATAGTTCTAGTTCATGGTGAGTCTGGTGACAGATATTTAGAACCTTCTAATGGAATAGCTCTAGTTCATGGTGAGTCTGGTGACAGATATTTAGAACCTTCTAATGGAATAGATCTGGTTTATGGTGAGTCTGGTGACAGATATTTAGAACCTACTAATGGAATAGCTCTAGTTCATGGTGAGTCTGGTGACAGATATTTAGAACCTACTAATGGAATAGCTCTAGTTCATGGTGAGTCTGGTGACAGATATTTAGAGACTTTTAATGGAATAGTTCTGGTTTATGGTGAGTCTGGTGACAGATATTTAGAACCTACTAATGGAATAGCTCTAGTTCATGGTGAGTCTGGTGACAGATATTTAGAGACTTTTAATGGAATAGTTCTGGTTTATGGTGAGTCTGGTGACAGATATTTAGAGACTTTTAATGGAATAGTTCTAGTTCATGGTGAGTCTGGTGACAGATATTTAGAACCTTCTAATGGAATAGCTCTAGTTCATGGTGAGTCTGGTGACAGATATTTAGAACCTTCTAATGGAATAGATCTGGTTTATGGTGAGTCTGGTGACAGATATTTAGAACCTACTAATGGAATAGCTCTAGTTCATGGTGAGTCTGGTGACAGATATTTAGAGACTTTTAATGGAATAGTTCTGGTTTATGGTGAGTCTGGTGACAGATATTTAGAGACTTTTAATGGAATAGTTCTAGTTCGTGATGATCTGGTGACTGATAATTAGGACCTTATTACGGAATAGTTCCAAGTTCATATTAAATAATCACTCTGTAGCATTTGAGGTTAGGAAAAGTTTTCTTGCATGCTACAAAGAGGTAGTTTTTAACACATGGCTATGAATTAATGACCCCCCCTCAATCATCAGATGTCTCAGAGATTGCTTCTACAGGAACATGCTAAAAATTGCTGCAGCCTAAATGTATGTTTTGAAAGTAATGACAAATTATTATTAAAGATGCAGTACTTCCTAATCTGGAGGCAAATAATTTAACATTTAGTCTTCTAGCTCAAGGATGAGAAACTCAGAAGACCTAGGTGCACTTTGTACACATTAAGCATTCCCCACAGCTGGAGATTGAAGCAAGCTAGCTAAGAAAGCTGCTGCCCTTGCAGATTTTCCAAATTAGAAAATCTCCCTACTGAAAATAATAAGCACATTTGCACCCTCGCTTTTTTAATGGATTTTATACATCATGTTAAAGTTCTCTTTGGGTAATCTTTCTTCTGCGTCTACTTTTTTGTCTTCTGCTGCTTCTTCTTCTTCTTCCTTTGCTTCTTTGTCTTTTTATTCTTCTTATTATTATTTTTGTTTAATGCTCACAGGCTGTAAACTCCAGCAGAAAGTCCTGGTTTTTCATTCACTACTGGATTTTGGTCTTGTTCTGGAACTTAAGCTTTGCATGCACATCTGTTTTACACATCTGGCTTATTTAGATGCAGACTTTTGGTTCCTCACCTGTCAGGCAGATGTACTCTGACTTCAAAGAAAACACCCTGTTTTTACCACATGCTTGTTAGGGTGGCATGGGGTCCCCCCCCACCACCACCACCACTTCTAACACCACAACGTAAAACAGAAAAATAGGACAATCTATCAGTAAAAGAAGTCTAGAGCACTTATGGGATATCCTTGTGTAATGAAGAATATTCTTTCTTTACAGACCAAACTAAGTTACTATACCTATATTTGCCAAAACAACAGGAATAAATTGGCTTAAACAAATATATAATTGATTGTGTGTATTAATATCCGTTGCAATTTTCACCTACTGTGGTTAAATTCGCCTTATTTTACGATGAGGAAGTGCACACTGGGAACTTGAAAGTGATTGCAGGGTAGACCAGGCCAGTAGTCTTGGTGGCCAGTTGATCTAGGAAGGAAGTTTTAATAGATGGGTTGGAACAGCTCTGATCTTCTGATCCAGCAGCTTCTGCAGCATGCTTTGCTCCAGTCCTGTTGGTGTTACGTCTCCTTTGGAGAAAACAAAGCAGGCTTAGAGAGGGATCATACTGCATGGCCATAATTTATTCTACATTTGCTGGGTGTGGTTCTTAGTAACTACCATGGCTGTCATTTCCATACACCCCCCCCCCCCCCCCCCCCCCAAGCACACAACACTATCATCGGATACGATTTATAGTGCCAACCAACCAAAATAAGATGCAGATATATATAGTTGCACACACACAGTCTTGTCTAATTACAGCTCATGTGGCCAGCAACCTGCAGACCACACCTCCTGATGTCTTCCTCTCAACAGATGGTGGATACAACTTCAGACGGGTATGGAAATATGCTTACTTGTAAAGAGTTGTCTTACTGTTTTCATTCCTGTACCCTTGTGTGAACTATAAAACTCCTTGGGCAGCCACAATGAGTAATCCAGGTGTTGTGAAAAAGTGAAGACCACAAGACATCTTATTAAAAAATATAAAGAGATCGTCAGCATTGTTTTTTCCTCCCCATGGTGTGAGAGGAGTGAAACTAGAACATGTTTTGACTTGAAAAGATTTATGGTAAAAGAAATAAGGTAAGACATTGTTTTTGTCGTGGCATGGGAGGCTGTCAGCACACAAACTGATACATGCTGT